AAAGTCCACCCATCTTAAAGTTGCTAAGGTTGAGGAACCCTGAACTAAAGTAGTATACTGTCTCTACTGTCTCCACAGCCAGCCTCCAAAAATCTGAGATAAGGGGGAAAGGAAGAAGATTGAGGGTACCAGTGGTTCTTTCCAAACAGCATCACTTATTACCTACATTAGTCATATAAAAGGACCACAGCTCCTGCTTTTAGCAGAATAGCTGTCTTTAGGTCTCACCAAAGCCTCGTTCTCCATTCCCTTGCTGACATTCTTTCTGCAACTTCAGGACAAAAATCCACTGAGATAATGAATTATAGAAGACAGCACAAATGAGGAGACTAACTAAGTGGCAGTTAATGAGTCTGGAATAGTTTCTTTGCATGTGCCCCCCAAATATATTTTTTTTTTGTGCCACCCTCCCTATCAGAGAGAACAACTCACAGTAATGCACCTCAGATGCCAAGATATGCTTTAGACATGGAACTAGGAATGAGCTTGTAATGGTGAGGCAACTCAAGGGAGACCCAGTAATATGTCCTTCACCCCACCCCAAGAGTCATTTTGTGTGAGATGGGCAGCTATATAAATGTGATATGGGTTATAGATTTCAACCCTACTATGCATGACTGATCCCTGGAACATCAGAGCTCTCTGTCCAGAAGAGTGCAGTGCTAGGAACAGCTAAGATACTGCGCAGATCCCTCAAACTCCCAGGCCTCTGGTAGAGGACCCGAGATTGAGGAAGACCTCAAGGGGGTGAGAGGGGAATTTTATTTTATTTTTTATATAAAATAAGATAGGTGCATGACTCTAAGAAGAGAGCCTCCTGTTTGAGTGTAGAAAACTATGCAGCCTGGGGCTACAATAAACTAATCCTTATTGCAGCCTGTACAAGTCATTGCTATGATGAAGGGTAATATGTGATCTCCCTGGCATACTTGCTAAGGGATAATAATAATCTCAGTCCTATTAACACAATAGCCTGATTTCCTCATGGCATACTTAACCTAGTCAATCACTAAGCCAGTGAAATCCCTTTACCTCGTATTCTGGCAACAACCGATCACCCTAACTGGGTCAAAAGTCAGCAGTTTTAGAATTATTGGCATCTCCCTCACTTTCTTCAAAAGGTGCCTGCTAGCCCACCAGAGGAGAGGCATTATGCCATGACATCACGGAGCCTTTCTCCATTGGTCAGACAGGCAGCATAGACACGGCTAGTCTCTTGTGGCTGGCCCGTGTTGGGGTTCTTCGCTCTCAGGCCTTGGCGCTGATTTCAGTAATCTGCTTTTCAGCCACTTCTTTCCTCCAGCTTTTTTACATGGAGACTCGTGTAAACGGACTGACTTAAGGTCAGCTGGCTAAGTTTAGCTGTTGCTCCAACACAACTGACTGGGTGGAATTATTTCAACCGTATGCATGACTGGCCCTGTTTTGGGTTAAATTTAACCTGCTGGCGTAGTTGACTGAATCAACTGACCTTTGTTTTTGTTTCAGTAAACCCACAACAGCTTGCTGATCCAGTTAAGTGTGTTGTAGGAATGATCTCAAAACTGATTTTGGAAAGTGGTGTTTCTTTTAAAAAAAAAAAACAAGCAAGCAAGCAAAGGGAATATCTACTATGCTACGTCTCTGTGAAGGTGATCTTTCTGCCCAAGTTGGAATGCACAAACACCTGGAGTCACCCTCCAGTGAGCAGCATCAGCAGCTCCCCTCCCTGCCAAGTCCACCACAGTACACGTTCCATCTCCGGGACAACGGTGTGACTTTTGGAGGCTCTATGCCTCATTTAATTCGGGTAATGGCCTAATTGGGTTGGAAAAATGCAGGGGCAGGAGTGTGATTAAAAACTAGCTTTGCGGTGCCCATTTACGCCATTGGAAAGAGAGGAGAGGAAGGAAGAAAGAAAGGTTTTTTTTTTTTTTTAGGGTTTTCTATTTTAAGCACGCACTTCACCGCACTTCTTCAAGGACTGATGCGACCTGGAATGTTATGAGGGTTATCACCTCAAAGATGAGGAGGTAGGGTGCAAAACTCACACAGCATCTGTGCAAAGTTTTGTGGATGGTTTTTGCCCTGCAATTTTTAATTACTCTCATTCAACTCAACGTTTTTGCTTTCAGTTCTCCGAATCGATGGTAGCTGCTGTGGAAATCATTTTGCCTGATAAGAACAAAAAGAAACAAAGAACAAAGAGAGTTACACAGGGAAATCTGAGTGATGAGCATTGCCGTTAATTCAACGCACACTACCTTCCCATCTAGCCAGTCTCTAGCTCTAAAACCAACCTACTTCACAGGATTGTCTAAGGAAGTGTAGAAAATAGGATATTGGATGTTATAATAGAGAAAGTCAATTCTTCCAAATTGATGTTTGTCCTACTATAATGTCCCACGTTTTACAAATGTATTAAAGTAAGACATTCCAGAAACACATAAAAGCTTTTAAGAATGCTGCTAAAAGCTGTTTTCTGAAAAAGCCATTATTATGTACAGCTGGAACACGAAAATGATACTACTCTTAAAAAAAAAAAAGGCTGAAATGCTAAACACACTGTAAGACCTTTTGAATACTATGGGATTTATTTTTAAGTAAACAAGAATAATTATATTGTAAATTAACTTTGCCAAGGGCTTATGGTGAGCCTCATCCTTTGTTTCTTTCTAATCTTGATAACATTTTCCTTCTCTTTCCATCCTTTTTCTTCCTGTTCTTTTTCTTTCCATCCTTTTTGTATTGCTGTAAATCCACTAAACTGCAATTAAGGGCAGTGATTCTCTTGTTTGTATTTGATCTTAATATTACTGACAAAAGAACAGGAACAAAAGGCAGAACCTA